AGCATTGTTGCTTGATTCCATGTTATATTTTAGGCAGATCTCTTCATTATCAGACTTTTCTCCTGTGGAACCAACCACCAGTTTTAATCTGTGAGGCAGACACCCCGGCTGTTTCTGAATATGGGTACTGGTCCGTTCTTATGTGCTCGTGTCCTCGTGACACGCAATCAGCCTCACCCCCAGCACTGTTCCACTTGGCGAGAACACGAGTCCATACTTGCGTTCTTGTGAATTGAGAAAAGGCCCATGTCTACTATTAAAGGCATACTATGCAACATTTTTCAGTTAATTAATGTGTTCCATAACGTTTTGGATGATTAAATGAGTCATTTCAGGTCGAACAAAGGTTTTCTCGGCCGCCCTGGTGGTCTGTAGGGGAAATACCGTACTTGCAATTGCAGGAGCCCTCGGCCCGCAATTCTTGTGCATCGCGAGAGTCGGTCTGCTTTACGGCGAGAAGTGCTACACGCCCCCAGTGAAAGGCATGCTCGTTGCTAGCGCAGTGGCAATATTTGTGCAGTTATCAGATCAGAATCAGAAATACTTTAATAATCCAAGAGGGAAATTACTTTTGTTACACGCTCCAGTTACAGTTATCATGGCGCAACCAGCGAGAAAACAGCAAGAAAGAGGAAAAGGGCTTTGGACAGAGAGAGGAGTCGTACACGTGTGAACATCGGGCAAGCTTTTTCCGAATGGCGAGAGCTAAAAGAAAAAGAGGGCTGCAAGGCTCAATACTTACGACAGTGCACTTTTACTTTCGCCCTCTGGAGGGAGCCTCGCTGGAAAATCAACACCGGTTGCATAGTATACCTTTAAGGGTAGGTATAAAACTTTCCTTATTGATAAAGCTTATAGTTAGAGGGTCTCAGGTTATCCTGAGCTATCTCTATAGTTATGCTGCTATAGGTTTAGAGTGCTGGAGGTCATAGGGACCCATTTTTCATCATTCTGCTTCATCCTATCTATATTCTTCAATTCTGCAGTACTTATAGTTAATTCAACTCCTACCTTTATGTTCTGTCTGCCTTTTTCCATCATAGTAGCTTCATCTGGTCTGTTCCTGTTCGACTCTGACACCATCTTAGAGAGAAAGATCAGCTGTGCTGTTGCGTCAACACCTTCGGTTATAGATAATAGAGTTGGGCTTGTTTTTCATTGCTTAATCCTGGTTGTCTCCTAGATATATCTATGAGCTCAATTTTTTCTATGTGCTCTCTTTCATCCCTTTGGCATGTAAACTGGTTCGGAGCTAACTGTTTCTTTCCTACAAAGAGCCACCTGTGGAGCTCGTTTACCTTTTCTAACATCTCATGCTGTGCTACAAGTAAATATGATCGTTACCTCCTGGAGAAGAGTGTCCCTCAAAGTCGACAACTAAGCAGTGTTTTTCCTAGATAGAAACTTTCTACCAATCTGACTGTAAATAAACTGAATTTATTTAATTTGAGAATGAATATTCAAATATCTTTACTTGCAGAGAGATGTGGAACCGAAGTGAAAAGATAAACAGTGTTGACAGCATCACGCCGCATGCATCATGCTTCACTGCACCGTGTTGGGGGTGACGTTTTTACATCTGAGCCAGAAAGTTCAGCTTTGGTCTAATTTAAACAGAGCAGCTACACCTGTTCCCTGACGTAAAATATTATAATATACAATTTATTATAGTATCCCAAAAATGTGAAAAAGCTAAAGGGGTGTTAATACTTTTTTTTAAAGACTGTGTTTATACAGATGACGGCTGTGTTTGCATGATCTGTCTCTTTGTAAGCTGATTGTAAATCTGTCAGCTTAACGGCTGGGCAGCTCAGGTCCTTCACCATCATCACATCCTCTGCTGACCCATCAGCTGGTAAAACATGGAGGGTCAGGGTATTGTGAACCTCTGGGAGGGAGCTGCTTCTCTAACAGAGACGGTTGTGAGGCAGTTTATTGAACAGAACCTGCCTGTCAGTGTCACCCGAGCTCCAATCTTCAGCTTTTGAATTATAGGTTTTAAATGTTCAGTGTGTCGTATCGATCTGTTGTCTGCTCTGCCTTCCTCCTCCCTCTGTGCTCCTCTAACGCTTTTCTCCCTCCTGGGATTTTTTTTCCTCTGCATCAACAAGAAAAACATTGACCGAGAAAATAAATTGTGAGACAATTATCCGATGAAATCATCCGTTTCCTCCACTTTGTCCCACAAACAAACAAAGATGTTTAGCATGTTAACCTCCTTTCATGGATTCTGGTTGGTTATTACTGTTTATTTTTCATTGCTGGGATCACTTTATAATCGGAGCTCATGGATCATGGAGCCACACACAGTCTGCACTGGAATCTACAAGAGTTGGAAGAACCTAAAGACACGGTGCAACAGAAGAGGTTGCTGCAGGTGTGAGAATCTACTGACAGCCTGTGAGACCTGGAGTCATAAGATTTAAAGTACAGGGTTGTTTTCTAGTAGATAAAAACAGACCATAGATCCTTAAACTTAGACAAGGTTCTAAGTCTAAGGACCTTCCGTTCCCCTGCGTGCTCTGGCTGCTGCAAGACGCTGCTCCTCTTCTCTCCTTGATCTCTGATGCAGGCTAAGTAACAGGCTACAGATTTCCGCTCTTGTGGACTTTATTTCTTCTTCAGACTGAACTTTGCCTGGTTGGTTACTTTCATACTCATTATCATTCCCTATCTGAGTTCTGAAGTCACTGACCTGAGTCTCCGTTTCTGCAGAGAATCCAGCGAGCCCACTCCGGCTGACGAGCAGCCGCATTTTGCTTTAAATAAACGCTTGTTTCAAAAACTGATCTGTCTGCTTGTATTCTGGGTCCAACGTTCTGAGCATTCTGACAGAGATAAAGACTGCTGCTTCATGATGAACTCTGCAGAACCTTCCTCAGAGGGATGGAAATGATGAAACTACTATGTTCTCAGCTTTTTTCTTTTTTTCCACTCAGATCTCCCCATATTTTGGTGGTGCAGGTCTACTCCTCCATCATTGAGTCCATCCTCACTTTCTCCATCACCATCTGGTACGCTGGTGCCACCGCTAAGGACAAGAGCAGACTGCAGCGTGTCATCAGAGAAGGTGATTGGCTACAACCTCCCATCTCTCCAGGAGCTGCACGCCTCCAGGACTCAGAGGCTGATCCCTCGCACCCCAGTCACAGATTATTTCAGTCACTTCCCTCTGGCAGGAGGCTGCAGTCCATCAGGACCAGAACCTCCCGTCACAAAAACAATTTTTTCCCATCTGCTACCGCCCGTGACACTGGACAATGTTTCTCTACCCCATTCAGGATTACTGCCTTACATTAACGCACAGTCTACTGTGTGTATATAGCTTCTGTGTATATATATATATATATATATTCTATCTTATTTTGTTTTTTGTCTGCACCAACAACACCAAGTCAAATTCCTTGTAAGTGCAAACCTACTTGGCAATAAACTTGATTCTGATTTTGCTTTTGCCTCCTCACAATGTGCCCATGTGAGAGGTCTGTAAACATGAACCACAAGTTTCAGCCTTGAGATCAGTGAGAACCTAGAATCAGTGAATGCAGGTGAAGAAGTATTTCCTTCAGATCTCTTCATCCACTCTGGACATTTAGAATCTGCTTCTAACAAGATCCATAGAGATAAAGTCCCAAACGTCTGTTTATTTCATCAATGTTCAGCCTGCTTTTTCCTTCCTACTTTCAAGCATGAAAGCAGGTGTGGGCTGCATGGGGGCGCAGTTTGTAGCACTGTTGCTTAGCAACAAGAAGGCTCCGGGTTCGATTCCTGTCCCAGGTTCTTTTCTGGATGGGGTTTCCATGTTTTCCCCGTGCGTGCGTGGGTTCTCTCCGGGTACTCCGGCTTCCTCCCATTGTCCAAAAACATGACTGTTAGTTGACTGGTGTCTCTACATTGTCTTTAAGGGTGAGTGTGTGTGGATGGTTGTGTGTCTCTGTGACCTGTCCAGCCGTTCTCCCACAGACTGCCTATAGACTATAAGCTTTATCAAAAAGGAAAGTTTTATACCTACCCAGAAAAGAAGGCAGGGGCCTTTTCTAAATTCAGAAGAATGCAAGTATGGACTCGTGTTCTCTCCAAGTGTGTTCTTGACAAGAACACAGAAAGTATAGACTTGTGAGAACGGAGGCACCGGCTCCACTGCCACCGAGACGGAATGGCATGAAGCAGAGGTTCAAGGTCTCAGCTCTATCGACATCAGGAAATATCTTGACAGCTGCACATCTTCCTACTATCCTCCAATCAGGGGTGATGGGAGGGGTTTTCTTAGTCAGCCCAAAATGTGCATACAGGATTCAAACTGCAGCGAAAAATCAACTCAGTCTCCAAAGAACCCAAACAATTGTAGCATAGGAGCAATTTGGAGATGCTCCTCCCTCTTTTCATATGGGTGTCCAGAGTAGTCTGGTTTATCTGTTATAAACCCTGAGCAGTGTGGGGCATTTATATATTGAGGCGTGGAGAACTGCAGATATTTCCATGGCAACAGAGCCTTTATTTAAAGCCATAAAGCACCAAAAGGGGTCCTATCATTCACTCTGAGTTCTACCATGGCTGTGTGGATTTGATGAGGAGGTAACACTGGCCTAAGACCTGAGTGTTCGGCTCTGCTTTCCCTTCTGGAGCCGCATTAGAGCAGATGGACCATACCGTGGAAGTACCGTTAATGTTTCCGGGCAACTGGGCCAGATTTCCAGAGGCTTAGATCTGATAGAGAAACTGTGGATTAGGGTAATGGCACCGAGGCTTTCCAACCTCAGATACATAGATCGATAAATCAGCAGAATATAAAAAAAAATAAAAAACAGCGGAAAGCATCCAGCAGTTAGAGAAAAGGTTTAAAAAAACTATTTTTCAACAAGCTAGAAGGTAAAATAATTTTTATTTTTATGTTTTTGTCTCTTTTGGGTCCAACTGGCCGTCCAAGTTGAATATTTTTTGTCTTGTTCCCTGTTTTAATTGGACTTAATTGGACTTTTTTGTTTTTGCTAAAAACTCACCGGTCCAACCTGCAAGACAATGACAGGTTCCAGATGACGGATCGCAGCTGCCAGCGTGGACGCAGTCACACTTCTCCCTGCAGTCCAGCCCGTACCATCCATCCTGCAAGCAGAACCAGGACCATGTGTCTTTAGTCAGGGTGGTAGAACAAGGACAGAACACTTAAGCTCAGCCCAAATGGGTCATTGGACATGTTTTAGCCGGCAGATCCAGATGTTTCTGACTCTGAGCTCAGTTTCTAACAGGATCCAAACCTGTTCTTCAGATCTTCTACTGGATCTAAATATGTTTTTAAATCCAAACACTGAGGATGAAGTTTCTGAGTTTTGTCAAGGCTTCATTCCTGCTATCGTCAAACCTTTGCAGATGTCAGAACATCTTTGAAGCTTCAGCCAACAGAACCAAAAAGTCTAAAAACAAAGACAGCTTTCACTAAAACGATGAAGACCAGAATAGATGAAGAACAAAGAGGTTGTTATGGTAACCGCTGGTAGCCGCTCTGATTGGGGCAACACATTTTCAGAAAAATCCTTTTGTTTTTCCTGTAAAAAGGTGAAAAACATGGAAGTTTAGGACTTACGGGACACGGGACGTCGCAGTACTCCCCCCTCCAGCCCGGCGAGCAGGTGCAGGTCCCGTTGACCGGGTCACAGGCTGCCTCGTTGGCGCACTGGCACGTCTGATTGCAGTTAAAGCCCCACGTCCCGCTGGAGCACTGGACGGTGCAGTCCACTCCCTGCCAGCCTGAGGAAGACAGGGAGACAAACCGTCAACCTCAGTCTGATCCCGACTTGGACATGGAGTCAGGGACAAAGTGTTGCTGAGGACTCGGCTATGACGGAGGTTCAGAGTCCTGGGATCCTGTCATTCGGCTGCTGGACAGATTTTTTATGTTGAAAATCATAGAACAAACTGAGCCATCAAGCCCAAAATAACGAGAGAAATCTTTGCCTCAGTTTACCAGCATAGCGGAAAATCTGCAAGAACAGCAAAATAGGAGGGAGGTGTTTGCTTTAAAGCCGGCCAGACAGCTGCTCACGACTTGTCTTTAAATCACGGCCCTCCAGCTTAAACGTCAACAAATTAACTTTTGCTTCTGAATTGTTTTATTTTTACCTAAGTCTGTGGAAAATCAACACAGGGGTAACTACCAAGAAACCACTGGGTAGATTTATGAGCAATGACCAAAGGAAAGGAAATCAGATGGTTTAGAGCAGCAAATCATATTTATTTTAACGAATCAACCAAAAACAAGATAAGAAGATCTGATGGACGCTCTGATGGAGCAGCAGCTGTGTAGACCAATGTCTCTAAAAGTCCGGGGCTCCTTGGGGACAGCAGGACGGAGAACTAAGAACTGCTTGTTCTGAATTGGTCAACATTTGATCTGCTGTGTGGAGAACCTTTAAGAACCGTGTTACTGAAAGGTTCTATCGGTTTTTCTCTGTTCACATTTAGCATCAACATCTAGACTCATTTATTTATTCGGAAAGATAACCAGAAGTGTTCCATGGTTCCCTCCTAATGTCTGCGTTTTCTCCCTTACGTTCTAAATTGGACCCAAAGCGGGCCGGGACCAGCCTTGTGTCATCTCTGAACCTTTCTTCTTCGCTTGTCCAAACAAGCTGCCGGTCCTGCACTCGGTTTCATCACCCTCCCCTTAATTACCTTCCTTCTCATGCTGAATCTGTGCTGCATAAATATTTAAAGAGTCAGATATTAAAATATATAAAGTTGGAGCACAATGTAGAACATAATAAAAAAGTTCTGGGAAACATTGACGTTGGTACTGGTGCATTGCGGGGATGAAACGTTTCGGTTGTTGTGTTGTTAATCTAAACACACAATGAATTCTGGATTATAATCTTCCTCCTGATTGGCTGATGTTTAAATAAAAAAAGTTGGACCAGGTTGGAGTTTTGAACCTTGAGCTAAAGAACCGAACTGTGTGGGAAAGAAATCAGAGCCTGAAACGCGGTGCAAGCGATGAGCCGAACCTTCTTTGCAGATGCAGGAGCCGTCGACGTGTGAGCAGGAGATCTCGTTGTGGCAGGAACAGAAGGAGGTGCAGTTGGTTCCGTACTGACCCGGAGGACAGCTGAAGGAGCAGTCGTCTCCCTGTGGACAACAGAGACACAAACAGAAACTCTGAGTCGCATCATTCCTCCTGCATCCGGGCTGAGATCACAGCTCTGTGACTCCTGAGTCCTGCTGCTGACTTCGTCTGCAGATCCCTGTGAGAAAAACATATTTTCTCTTGAGTTGGCTCTTCTATCCACTCTTTGGGGTGAAGAAACTGACTGATGAAGAGTTTTCACCATCATTTCCTGCTCCTGCAGCTCTCCGCAGGCATTCAGTTCTTACTCAGACTCTCTCTCTTAAAACTCATTACAAGCCCATGAGTGCATTTAATTTGTTAGCGCTGATGCAATAAAGCATCGGATGAAGTAGGAAGGAGGAGATGATTGGCGCTGATGGCCTCCCTGCAGAGCGACATGATGGCTCTGCTTGTCCGATCAACGCGGGATGCGGCTGCAGCTCCATCAGGGGGTCTGACCTCATTCAGGCCTGCTGCCATGGTGCGGCAGACTGACTGCGCCTCCTGCATTGATCAGGACCTTCAACATATAAACTCCGTTAATTAAAGCTGCCTGCTTCCAACCTGCTGCCTTTAAATTACTATTAATCTAATATTCACAAAGGCAGCCCAACGTGCACGGACAGGAGAGCGCAGAGGACTTATTAAAAAGTTGGTGGAGTGAGGACTTTGTAAAAACTTTGGTAATAAATAACCTGCGTGGGCTCAATAATGGAAGTCATGACGGAACGACAGGCGACCTCTGCAGTTAGAATTACTGACAGATCAATAGATTCTCATATTTATCAAGTAATCAGGATCTTTCATTCTATTCATTTGTGTTTTACCAGTAAATGTAAAAACTCAAGGGGTATTTCAGCAATAAATAACAGTTTATTTGATAAGATTAAAAATGAAATTCAGGCGTCTTTTAATTACTGCAAACACCTCCAGCTCGTCCGTCCCCCGCGGACATGCTGATGAATTTCCACCTGCAGGGTTTTTCTCAGAGGTCAGAGGGGTTAACGAGGACGCCCTGTCGAAATCTCACGCTCTGCCTCTTAATGTTTGCTGTTGTTCTCTTTAAATCTGAGAAAGTGTCTTAAAAGAGGCTCAGAAAAACAACCAGACATGAAGACTTTTCATCGCTTAGCAGATTAAAAGCATCAACAATGACTAATTCCCAAAAAAATAACAATCCCAACTAAAATACATAGGAATAAATGAAATTATATAAATTACTTAATCATTTTAAATGTATTTCTAACTATTGAATGGCACATTTATTCATGTAACTATTTTAAACATAAACATCCCTAAATTGATGCACGTTTAGATGATCGATGTCAAGCTTTGCTGTCTGTTGGTTCTCTGCTTGTGAGCCTGCAACCTGGGATTTTTCCTCCAACAATAAGTCTTCGCCGGGATTTTATATAATTATGAGGATTTCTTTTCTGTTTTCAAATAAGTGGAATGACTTTAAATATTTTTCCATTGTGGGACAATAAAGGGATTTTCTATTCTGACTTTATATATAACTTGTTAATGAAAGTTAATGAAAACTTCTATAACATCATAAACATGACTTTTATAATCCCAGAACTGGAAATATTATAGAAACTGCTTAAATTGCACACACAGCTCTAATCTTTAAAGCTGTTTTTCTCTGCCCTTAATTTACCTAAATTCTTCGTCTAAAAGATACTTAACGTCTCGTTAAGTTAGTTCCGGGGGACTTATTTTATTAGAGTTGTATTATCAGCAAGTCAGTTCCCATAAGGTAAATAAAACCTTCTTTTTTACTGTTGATGTCCATCCCATCCCAATAGAAAACTAAACTTTATCAAAGCTTAGAAGAAACATGCTAACGTTAGCCTAGCATTGTTAAACAGAGCAAAATATATGTAGCTTGGTGCATCATACATCTGTTTACACACAAAGTAATAGATATTTTAAATGAGTACGACCAGGAGTTAAAAATGTAATTAAGGAAACCCAGCATCTACGTTTAAATAAAAACAATTAAGTAAACACCAGAAACTAAACCTCAACAGCTTTAGAGTTTTAATCAAATTGATCAAACTTTGTCATGATCTTGGCATTGATGACTGGCTTATTGGTTCATTCCATCCACCTGCCTACCTCAGCCCAGTTTCTCATTACTCATCACCTCTTCCACCTGCTCCTGCATCTATTTAATCTGCCTGTTCCCAGTCATCAGTGCCAGATAATTCCAGCCTTCATGAGAGTTTTCCAGCTGACCTGTTGTTGTTCTGACCCGTTCTGCCTTTGAACCTTTGAGCCTGCCTGTAGCTGTTCTGATCTGTTTGCCTGACCTGTCTTCGGACTCTTGCTGGATTTCCCTTGGGTACCCCTTCTTTTTAAATTTTTTATTTTATTTAACCTTTATTTAACCAGGAAGTCCCAATGAGATTCAGAATCTCTTTTTCAAGAGAGACCTGGCCAAGGTAGCAGCCAAACCACAGGAAGTTCATACATATTTACAACATATTACATTTTTCATAATAAAATCAGAGCAGTATCTTAAAACACATTGAGCATCTCAAGAAAAACAAGCACAGATCTCCATCACTACATTCTTCATGGTTACTTTAAATTCTTATCTCTGATCTTCTGGCCTGGATTTCTGTTCACCTTGTCTACAATGGCTTTGGCTTCATAGTCTGGAAAATCCTGTCTTCCTTTGTCTGCTGGCTTCTGTTCATCAGCCAGTTCAGCAGCTTCTAGGCTTCGGTTCCTGGAACTCTCTGGGCAGCATTCGTCGTTGCTGTTGTTAGCTATCCGGCTGGATTCTACTTATTCTTCTGGGCACAAACGGAACTCTTAAACCAGGTTAGTGGCTTACACCCTAATTATCACCCACTGTCAGATTTACGTGTTCACTAACCTGAGTTTTCCCCTCTACAGAGATTCTGGTCTTGTGACCCTAGCTGCTGAGTTGCTGACCCGACATGAATAAATGCTTTTGTGAACCACACCTATCTGTCTGCTTTGAATTCTAGGTCTTTAGTTCTGAGTACTGACAGACTTTTCTGTGGCTAAATCGATGTAATCAAACTCTGGTTTCATTTGAAATAAATGATACAAAAGTTTTTTATGAAAATAAATCCAGAAGTAAATTAAATTCCACCTGTTGGGCGACAAACAGAGGATGGACTTCAGCTGACCTTCCTTAAGGCTTATCATCTGAAAGGATCAAAGACTGTGTGATCTTTTAAAGACAGAAATGTTCAGTTTAACCAAAGCTTTTTTTCCCCTTCAGAGGCCAACTTAGCGACTAACAAGACATCCTCTGCTACAGGAACAGATTTAAGACCTCTGCTCAGAGATGGGCATGTTTACAGATATTGATCTGACCGACTGAACTGGTGACAATGCTCCAAATAAATTATCTTTAAAGCTGGTCCCTCATCCATGGCTACCAAAGTGGGGGCTCCCAGCACTGCATCAATTCTCTCTGAATCAATAACTCTCCCAATTCGTTGCGTGAAACCAAACACGCATGCCTCTGCAGAGCCCTTCCTGCTTTCATCTACTGAAATCTCTGATGTTCTCGCTCCAATTAGAAAAGCTTCTGTCATCTCTCTCCAGCCAGATCAGCCGGCACCACAGGAGGCTGGGACCCCGGGGCCCCCAAAGCTTCACACACACAAAACTATCCCTTAAAATCACTTCACAGTTTTAAAACTGAATGTCCGGCTTCATATACGATAAAAATTCTAACATGACAAATTTTACATGAGGTTTTAATTTGGTGAAAACAGAAAGCAGGCGACGAAAAGATGTTTAACACCCAACGGCTCCAAACTGGAGTAAAACAACAGAAATAAACTCAAATTACATTTACAAATAAAATCACAATCATGTAGACATGCAAAGTGCTTTTTTTTAACTCGGACCCTTCACTCTGATGGCCCTAAATAAACCCCAGTGCAGCCAGTTGTCTGTAAAAGTCTCCTACTTGCTAAGCAGATGCTTGTTGAAGAACATTAGAGAACAAGCAGCATCATGAAGAAAAATTGCTCGCATACAAAATTCTCTTGATGGAGAAAAACTAACACTGCAAATCACCTCTGGAGTGAAGCATGGTGGTGGCAGCATTATGCTGACGGGATTGACTGCATGGTTTTGATTTAACTCGTGTTTGGTAGCTTCACACCTGGTTCCATTCTGATTGCTGACGTTTTAAAAGGGTCAGTTTCTCAGCATACAGAACCTTTTCCCAGTGATCCGTAGAAAAACCCATTCTGCTGAAGCATTGATGAAGAATCTGAATTGTTCTTCTGACATCTGTGTGGCATTCACACCCAAAATGCTCATACCACACAGAACTGCTTCCCCTCTTCTGCAGGCTGACCGTATACAGACATCACTGAGGCATCACTGGAAACCCAGAGGTGGAGAGAAGAAAAAAAATCCTTCTGTCCTTTTAATGAACCAGTGGTTTGTGGAAAGGTTGCAGATGTCCCCTCATTACTCTGCCGTCTCTGGGTGACCCACATCACAGGTCTGCACCTGCAGAGCCCCTCCCACACTAAGCCCGATGCATCACCCCGTACAGCTCATCGCCTTCAATGTGTCCAGCTGAGGAAATCCCAGCTGGAGTCTGGGTTTGCTCGGAACGGACCGACAGCTGATGTAACGCCTCGTGCCTCGTCTGTTCCTGTTTGGCTGTGACGTCATCCTGGAAAGAAACATCAGCTGTGCTGTGACTGGGTGGATGTGCTTTCTTCGTCCTCTGACATGGGAGCTGGCTCGGAGCTCGTCTGCCTGGCTGTGTGTTTCCTGGACGGGGCCGCCTTTTACAGCTGCTTTTGTGTCTCTGCTTCCGTCTTCTTGAACCCAGTCGGCCTCGGCAGATGGCCGCTCACACTGAGCCTGGTTCTGCTGGAGGTTTCTTCCTGTTTAAAGGGAGTTTTTCCTCTCCACTGTCGCTACAAGCATGCTTAGTGTGAGGGATTGTATTGAGTCAATGAGTCGATGCAATCAACTGGTTTTCCTTAGATGGAGAACTTTGTATGAATTTGACTGTATGATCTGGTTGAACTGTGAAGTGCCTTGAGATGACATGTGTTGTGAATTTGGCGCTATATAAATAAACTGAATTGAATTGAATTGAATTAACGCGGTGAGAGTGAGAACGTCTTACAGACGTTCATTAGGCCGTCTGGAGTCAACAGCAGCACATTTGGATGAAAGGATCTCATTTCTTTGAAACAATTGTAAAGCTAACAGGTCATCTAATGCATTATGGGTAATCTATGGTATCGAAAAAATGAAGAAACGTACGTACAGTTTCCTGAGCCTGACCTAGAACTGTTTTATTATACCTAAGAAGAGGTCGGGTGTGCAGGAGTCGCAGTGGTTAGTGCGCACGACCCATGTATGGAGGCCTTAGTCCTCGACACGGCCCACCCGGGTTCGAATCCGGCCTGTGGTCCTTTGCCACATGTCTCTCCCCCTCTCTCATACCCCCTTTCCTGTCAGATACGTTCCACTAGTGCAGTAAAAACTCCATAAAAAAATAAAAATAGATTGAGTGGAGGTCAGAGGTCATGGTTCTCCACAGGAAGGAGCTGAAAGGTTCCGTCTGGGTTGGGACGGTCCAGTATGATGCTGACCTGTACCGAACCTTCGGACCTCAGATAGAAACCATCACAGCCATAAACAGGAAGTTCTGCTTATCTTCTCCAACCCCATCATTACTCTGTTAGCGGTTCGTCTGAACCCAAGAGGTCCAAACTACAAACTTCATCCAGGACCAGGATGTCTCTGCAGAGCCCACACATGATGGAGACAGAGTGGGCGGGGCTACAGAAATTGTTGCTGTCTCTCTGATGGATACACTGCAAAAACGATCTGGAAACGAGTAAAAATGTCTTAAAATTAGTGTATTTAGCATAATTCAAGCAAGTAAATAATAAGATTTGCCAATGGAATGAGCATTTTTACTCTTAAAATAAGATAGATAATATCTACTTGAAATAAGACAACGCAATTGTTTTTTCTTATTTTAGATGTAAAGTGCCTTATTCCATTGGCAAAGTGTATCACCTAACTGCTTAATTTAAGACAGAAATGCTCTTTTTTAAAGAAAAATAAACTTACTTAGATTTCAATTTTTTGCAGTGTACTGAGCAGTCAAAGGACCGTGCTTATTATTATCTACTACTTAGAGTCATATAGACCCAAAAACATATTTTCTTCATAAAATAATATTAAGGGTCTCTATATTGATAGCAAAGTTGGATTCCTTATGTGACAAACGGCATGGATGAAGCTGAATCTGATACTAGACCTGGAACAGATACCAGAAAATGTTCTCGATCCGGTCTGACAGAGCTGGAACTGTTTCACAAATGAGAAGTATGCTTTTTTCTTAGAAGATTTAAAACCTAAACCTGGTTCTACAAGACAAAAAAGACATTCATTTCCTTTGAGACCAAATCACCACTTTGTTCTAGTTTGTGACATCAGATGCACAGAAGTTTGATGTTTTGTGACAGAATGTGGAAGTTAAGCGGGTGTGAATATTTTTGTATGGTTCTTTAAACCCAGATGTTGTGGGAAAATCTCAGGGTCATCCAGAATGACCTGGAGACTGTTGCTGGGTTACGATGCCATCTTTAACCAAAAGATGATGATTGAATTATTTTTATTGCCCTCTGTTTCTAATATTTCAGTTATAGGATGTGCTAGAAACTTTCCACAACCTTTGCCTCCTTAGCGGAGCTCTGCTCTACATCAGAGTGAAAGAAATCATAATTACTATGTATCCAGGGGCACAGATGCAGGCTCCAGTGACGCCATCACAGTCAGCTCCGTTGGTGCAGCTGCACGGCTCCTTGCAGCCCTCGCCGTAGTAACCAGCGGGGCAGGTCTCGTTGCAGTAAAGCCCCGCCCATCCGGCTGCACAGGTGCACTCCCCCGACAGAGGGTGACAGCTGGGAGAGAAACGAGGGAGAAAGGAGGTTTTTTTTATACCATGCATTCAGTAAAAGTCTCCGTTCAGCATTTTCCTGTTTTCCATCCAGACGTTATAGATCTGCAGAATATCTGGAAGCTTGGGATCTTTTGTTAGACGAACATGAATGAGCCATTTCAGCCAGGGAGAAGCTTGACTTTGACCTACCTGAGGGTGTTGTCCAGCTTGCAGGGGCAGTATTTGTCACAGAGGAGTCCATAAAGGCCTGCGGGACAGAAGCGGTCCTGGCAGCTGGGGCCCTTGAAGCCCTCGTTGCAGAGGCAGGCCCCATTGATGTGGTAGCATTTGGCTCTGTTCAGACAGTCACACTTGTGAGCACACTGCGGGCCGTATGTGCCGACCGGACACTCTTCCTGGCACCTGGAACAGGAACAGGAAGTCAGTTCCCAACATGCTGTGAATCGGATCTCCGTCAGACATGGAACGTCTGCTGGAGTTAGAGAGGAACTGAAAGCAGAAAAGCTCCCAGAGTCTGAATCAGAACAATCCTAGAGAGGATTCAGAAATCTAAAACCCCTCTTGGCCATCATCCCATTAATTCTCCAGAACCTCCCTATTGTCACCATGGTTACTGGCTCAAAGTCCTGTGGAGAAGAAGCCCTTTTGGATCCCAGCTGCTCTGCTGCGTTCCGATCTGAGGGACCTGAAGTTTACCGAGAGCTGGTTGAGCTCCTCTAATCAGAGACGTTGTTCAGATGTTTTGATTAATAATAGAGCACCACATGTAGCAGGTATCAGCTGGATTGAAGGTTAAACATTCATTAAATCAATGATTCTCATTAACACAAAGTGGTTAATAAATAAGGAAAGAATTGGAGCTTGGATGTGAAACAGCCTGCGTCACAGAGAGACAGCCTAATTCAGGATATAGACCAATGTTTATGAGATCCAGGCCTGTTAGAAGAACCATCTGGGCCTGAACCTTGTGCTCTGAAAACTTCCAAAGATTTTGGAGGCAGTTTTGCAGAGGAGGCTGGGAACAACATCCCACTGAGAGACCAGAGCCATAAGGGAGTGCTGGTTCCTACAGCCAGACTCGGTCAGTAACATCCACATGGATGGAAGGACCCAGTGCTGGCGGTCAGAGCCTTCAAAGCCTTCAATGCTTCAATCACAAACACTAGCCTACATACACAACATAACTTTTTCTTCTCTCTAACTGTATTAATTTATTCCAAACAATCCCTTCTCTTAAATCTGTATTGTTTCTCTTGGTGGCGCTGCTTCAATCACATTTATCTGGTTGCTATTTTTTTTTATGTCCAATCAGATTTCAGCTTCTGTGTGTTTCTATGTCAATCAGCAGTGCTGCTGATGTCACCCTAACAATGTTAGTGAGGAATGTTTTGTTCAACCAATCAGATTTCAGATTTGTCCCACAGCACCAGCTAGCAGGCCCGCCTCTACGTCGGCATTTTCTGTCCTCTGATTGGTCTAGATTCACTTTTGTTAAAAAAATTTTATTGCCTTAATTGCTGATACTAAATGGAGATACTGAGGCTCTATTTTATGTGCTCAATAGATGCATATTAAATCTGAACGGCTCCGGGTGATGTACAGGTGCTGGTCATAAAATTAGAATATCATGAAAAAGTAGATTGATTTCAGTAATTCCATTTAAAAAGTGAAACTTGTATATTATATTCATACATTACATACAAACTCATATATTTCAGATGTTTATTTTGTTTAATTTTGATCATTACAAATGACAACAAATGAAAATCTCAAATTCATCATATCAGAAAATTAGAATATTGTGAAAAGGTTCAAAATTGATGGCCCCTGGTGCCACACTCTAATCAGCTAATTAACTCAAACCACCTGCAAAAGCCTTTAAATGGTCTTTCAGTCTAGTTCTATAGGCTACACAATCATGGGGAAGACTGCTGACTTGACAGTTGTCCAAAAGACGACCATCGACACCTTGCACAAGGAGGGCAAGACACAAAAGGTCATCGCTAAAGAGGCTGGCTGTTCACAGAGCTCAGTGTCCAAGCACATTAATAGAGAGGCGAAGGGAAGGAAAAGATGTGGTCGAAAAAAGTGTACAAGCAAGAGAGATAACCGCACCCTGGAGAGGATTGTGAAACAAAACCCCTTCAAAAATGTGGGGGAGATTCACAAAGAGTGGACTGCAGCTGGAGTGAGTGCTTCAAGAACCACCACACACAGACGTATGAAAGACATGGGTTTCTGCTGTCGCATTCCTTGTGTCAAGCCACTCTTGAACCACAGACAGCGTCAGAAGCGTCTTGCCTGGGCTAAAGAGAAACAGGACTGGACTGCTGGTGAGTGGTCCAAAGTCATGTTCTCTGATGAAAGTAAATTTTGCTTTTCCTTTGGAAATCAAGGTCCCAGAGTCTGGAGGAAAAGAAGAGAGGCACTTCATCCACGTTGCTTGAAGTCCAGTGTAAAGTTTCCACAGTCAGTGATGGTTTGGGGTGCCATGTCATCTGCTGGTGTTGGTCCATTGTGTTTTCTGAGGTCCAGGGTCAACGCAGCCACATACCAGGAAGTTTTAGAGCACTTCATGCTTCCTGCAGCTGACCAACTTTTTGGAGATGCAGATTTCATTTTCCAACAGGACTTGGCACCTGCACACAGTGCCAAAGCTACCAGTACCTGGTTGAAGGACCATGGTATCCCTGTTCTTAATTGGCCAGCAAACTCTCCTGACCTTAACCCCATAGAAAATCTATGGGGTATTGTGAAGAAGAAGATGCAATACACCAGACCCAACAATTCAGAAGAGCTAAAAGCCACTATTAGAGCAACCTGGGCTATCATAACACCTGAGCAGTGCCACAGACTGATCGACTCCATGCCACGCCGCATTGCTGCAGTAATACAGGCCAAAGGAGGCCCAACTAAATACTGAGTGCTGTACATGCTCATACTTTTCATGTTCATACTTTTCAGTTGGCCAACATTTCTATAAATCCTTTGTTTTTATTGGTCTTCAGTAATATTCTAATTTTCTGATATGATGAATTTGGGATTTTCATTTGTTGTCATTTGTAATCATCAAAATTAAACAAAATAAACATCTGAAATATATGAGTTTGTATGTAATGTATGAATATAATATACAAGTTTCACTTTTTAAATGGAATTACTGAAATCAATCTACTTTTTCATGATATTCTAATTTTATGACCAGCACCTGTAAATATGGTGGAGCTGTGGTCATAGAGTAGAGCGGAGGTCTTTAACAGGGGGTCCGCGGCCCCTAGGGGGTCCACAGAGGTACTGCATGGGGGTCATGAACGTTAAGGGTGATTAGACTTTTTTTATTTTCCCCCCTGCAATTTTTTCCACTTATTGAAATGTCTTTAAATCCACATTAACATGAATTCAACACACTTTAGTAACAGATAAATGGAGGCAGAAGATGTCTTTCAGTCATCAGTGCAAACATTCAGTGACACACAGTCTGGGCATCGTTTCATTCACAACACCTGAATCAGAATCAGAAATACTTAAAGAATTCCAGGGAGGAATTACTTTGGTCACATTACTCTATATGTAATAGAATGACCATGGGACCAGTTTGATATGATACAATTTCATACAATATATGTAATTAGGGGGTCCCCCCCCATCTCTACATCAGTCTGGGGGCCCTTGGCCTGGAAAACGTTGAAGACCCCTGGAGCAGAGGATTGCTGATGTCTTAACTAGGCTTCTTGCTAAGGAATTTCTTTATCCATCCTCACCTTAATATTCTTCTGTTTTATATATATATATATATAGATAGATATATATATATATACATATACATACATACCGTACATGCATATGCTCTGCAGTCCTAATGTTCTGAGTGAACTGGATAACTCAGTGCAGTTCTGAAGAGATTCCACTTTTATCAAACCAGGTGTCCTTTTTCGGCGCCAGTTTAAAAACTTTATGATTCTAATTTCTGTCTGAAAGAATCGCCTGTAATCAGTTATTTTCAGGCGTTATTTTCACTTTTGCTTCTTTCTCTTGGCTTTTGGAGATTTTCATGTGATGTTCGGAATTAGTTCAATTTATCATGATTAACATTATGACTAATTATATATTTATTTTTAAAGGAAACAATAAAATATATATGCAGCACATTTTTCGAAAGAAATAAAGGAAAAAATGCAAGCAATTAAAAAAATGAAATGTCTAATATAAAAAACAAAAAACAAATCGAAATAAAAAATATTCTTTAGTAAGAAGATAAAAGAAAAATATATTAAAAGGCAAAAGGAGACAGCAATAGTTTAGATAAATGTTCATGCTTTAAAATATTACTGAGGAGGTTTGTTTATGCCTGATGGGATTATTGTTTATTTCATTTGTTGCGTCTGAAAATGTTGAAGTGAGAAGAAGAAATGAAAGCTGCTGTTTGCAGCCTGCTGCTTCTGTGTCAGCTGGCCCTGATCAAGAGCAGCACTGATGGCCAAACATTTGACTTGCAGATGCACTCATCGGGAGCTTTATTGGAAACAGCGTTATTAAACGAATGAAGGGCCGAGCAGTAAATCCTCCTTTATGAAGGCTTTTATTGGAAATCTTGTGGAGCGGCGTAAATCCAGCTGCAGGATGATTCTGGAGAATGCAGACCGCGGTGCCGGGAAAACCTTTTGTTGTGTTTACTAGGTTGCACTCAGTGATATTAACGAGGTCCTGAAAATAATGGAAACACCTGCCTGCGGAACATGATGGCAGATAATCAGTTATTGTTATAATTCAACTAAAACTGAACGAGCTTCCTGCAGAGTGGGAGTAATCCTAACAGGATAAAACCTTCTGCTTTCTTCCAGGTTGGCTGATAAACTTTTAGCACATCAACCTAATTTGACAACATAAAGTGTGATGAAGCACGACTTCCTTCAGCAGAGTGAGGCTGTAACTGGCTTGTTGTGAGGCCAAAGAACCATCAGACCCTCCTGATCACTGATAGTGAGGCTGAATTCAGGTGGAGAGCTGGACCGTTTTGCTGCAGTTCTAACCAGAGATTCTCTGAGGAAAATGTGGAGTGAGTCAACTTTAAGTTAAGTTTGGCTCAATCCAGATTTCAATCCAACTTAAAGTCGTAGGAAAATGGCTGTCCCAACGGTTGCATTTCAAAATTCTCCCGAGTGTTGCCCGACTTTACACGAGTGAATAAAGTGAATGTGATTGATCCATTTTCAAGGGGGCGGGATTGTTGTGGCGGAAGGTTCGCAAGCAGGTCTGGTTGTAGACGATTTGTCGGAAGCATCTTGCTAACCAGTTAGCAACTTAGTGCTAGTAGGTTCCCAATGGTAAATTCCATTGGGACCAAGTAGCACTAAATTGGTGACTTAGCAACGACACTGTCAAGGAACGCTATGGACAGCGGAAACATGCAAGAGGAGAAGAGTTTAGTGTCGGAGGTCGTGGATGAGTCTCCTCCATCATCCATTTTTTATTTAGAGGTGGAAAGCGGAGACGAAGATGTTGTGGAAGAGGACGCCAGGGCGGCAGAAGCTTGGTTTGGTGTAGAAGGCTTCCAGCCGTACATGTTTGAGCCCTTGCCTCGCAACGCTGCCAGTTCTGTTAGCTCTACGCCTGCCGAAGACACAGACGTCCATCCCCATGAACACTGGGACGGAACGCAATGGGAAAGGAAATGATTCTTATTTCAACTGTTGCATAAATTAGCTGCGAAATATGAATCAAGATGCTATGACCAAAAAAAATTTGATTGACAGATGACCGTCAATATATGATTGGCCGAATTTCGGTTTACAAGCTGACGTATAACTAACTGGTCTGCATAAAATAACGAAAAAAAAAAACAGACCCACAGATTTTAAGACAGATTTTTCTAAAATAGAAATTTTCTAACTTTTGGGACGACATGGTCTGATAGAGTACATTTATGTAGATATTTAAGCCAGAATGATTTGACATTTAAATAGGATTTCCCTACGACTTTAAATTAAAGTTAAGCTTTAAGTTAAGTTTGTTATTTTAAGTTGCAGAATAAAGTCGTTGCTCTGCCTCCTATGAAATGACCCAATCTTTCAGTCAGTGAATGCATCACGCCCATGCAAGAGCAGGTCACGCACAGCCTCACTCTTTAGTGTGGAATTTGCTGAATAAAGACTCCCAGTCAGCTATTTCTATCGTTGACACGTCTGTGATTCAGTCAAGCTGATGGAAGGTGAGAGAGAGGGAAACTCCCACTAAGAGAACGTTTATTTCCCTTTTTGTTTTGCCCTTCCAGGATCTGTATGTTAGGAATATGCTGGGCTTGGAAACGTTAACAGCCTTTAGAGAAACTCAGAACAGAACAAACCAGAGACAGCTTTAAATGTCACTCCTCCTAACACAGAAAACCCTTCACAGAGTAACAGCTTTCCAACGCAGTGTGTCCTTACCTCCACTGCTATCATAACTCACTTTTATTTCTCCATTATTCCTTATTTCCTTTTAGGCCTCGCCCATACGTAGCTGAGCGTAGGAGTGTCACAAAGCAGGGTTACAAACTAAATACATGCAGACAGGCCAACCCACTACCTCCCCCAAACTGTTGCACCTTCATGGTAAAGAAGCCTTTTTCTCTCTCCAGTAAGCCCCTTGACGATTTAGCCAGCATACACCTGACATCCAAAAATCTCCTAAAACGCTGTTATACGCTGAACTTTCTATTATTTTTTCAATTTTTGGGATTTACATAGAGTATTCATAACAAGTCCAGAGCGTTTGTCCAACGACGGCCTAAATTATGCATAACGTATGGCAGCGTAATACCCAAGAAATGTCACAAGCCAGTGTCCTGAGGGGGGCAGCAATGTGTCCGGAGGCACCCGGACTGCACAAAAAGATTTGTTTGATCGCGGTATTAACTTAGCTGCTGTTTGCTGCCTGCCAAAAAACAAAAAAAGAAAAAGAAAAAAGAAAGACAGAAGGTTTGCAGTCGCAGCAGATTCACCATCATGTCTGCTAAGAAGTTTGGTGGTTGTGGCCGTGGGTGTGAACGCAGGGAGGATCCATCACACTCAACTTCTCACTCACCCTATGATGGGAGGAGAACTGATGGTTTCCTCCTGTGAACCCCCTTTATACCAAAACGCTGCCAATACACCATTATACAGTAGCTGGAAGTTAGAAACACGTCCAGCGGTCGTCTGGAACACGTCAGATATATGTGTTGGAGATATGTTCTTGATACGTTACGCATAAGTTATGCACAAGTTATAGATAATGGACATTAAGTGCTCCTGATATCTCAGCTTGAGTTGTGCCTCCATCAACTGGGATGTTGGGAATCAACCAATCAAAAGCTCATTAAACTATGAAAAGAAACTGGACCAGTTCTGCCCAACGTCAGTCTGGACTGACTGGCTATCCTATATATTTTAGATCTTTCCTTTTATTAAACACACCTGAATAAAATGATGGTCCATTAGCAGAACTCTGCAGAACTGTGCAGATATACATTAATGTAAAATGAAATCAGGAAATCAGGAAATGACTCATTCATTCCGACCTGATCTGAAACTGGAGAATGAAAGGTTTTCTCTCTTTTCACCCCCTGAATATAAGCCTCCTGTTTCTACCTTAGATGCCTGCTCACCCTAAGCCGGGTTCTGGTTTCATCCCCTCCTTCTCTCCACTGTCGCCACATGCATCCTCAGGATGAGGAATTGCTTCATAGGCAATGACTGCATGAAGAAAATTGATGATCCTGTACATCAAGAAGGTGTCCTCAGTCAGAGGCTGTCTTCAGAGCCGCTGCAATACAGACTTATACAGGAGATCCTTCCTGCCTACATCCGCTATTTTACAGCAACTCTCTGAGGAAACTTGGATTATATTAGTAATTTGTTTTGGGATTAAATAAGTAAATAGAAATCACTTAAAATTAAGCCTTTTAAATTTGTATTGGAACAACAGCAGTTTTTCATTATTTGAAAAATGGATTTAGTCATTTTAACCCAAAGGGCAAAACAATGAAAGTCTCTTTGTTCTGTAAAAGGTAAAATAAAGGGGTAGAAATGTGATTAGTTGAATAGATCTAACAATAAATTTTAAGAGCAGGTTTTAAATGTAAAAAATTGTCCTTCAAACATTCATTCATTATTCAGAGACAGATTAACGAGGCTCCTGTTCGACAATAAAACCATTTTTCTCTAACGACGCAAGCTGCTACATTTCAGGAGGTCAACGGGCCGAGCGGTAAACCAGGACCCCGAGCGCAGCTCACAGAGTGTCTGTACCAGTTATACAGAGACCCAGAGAAAAAAGTCTCGAAGCGGCGTCTGGCCTGCTGAATTCTTCACACGTCCACCAGCTGAAACCATTAAGAAATAGACAAATCACTCAATTAAACTGCTCGGCGAGGACTTCTGTTCAACGTCACGTTTAAATCATGCCGACTTCCTCGGGACTCTTATCTCAGCTAATTCCATTACAACGTGGACGGAGAGGAAGAGAAGTCAATCTCGGAATTATTCCATGTAGGCTAATTCACCTGTCTGGAGCCGGAATGGATGGAGGTAATTTGGCTCGATTGAGAATAATGAGGAGGGGGAGTTAGAGGAGCTAAAGTCCAGAGGATAGAAGGGTTAAAGAGTAAATATTCAGACAGGTCAAGGAGCAATGGGAAGGTGGAAAGGTTACTGAGTCCTACAGGAACACGTCTGACATGTAAACCACAACATCTCCTCCTGAAAATGCTCCACATGACCCCGAATTATCTCACCTTTCTCCGATGTAGCCTGCGGTGCACTGACACTGACCGCTGATGTGGTCGCACAGCCCTCCGTTACGACACGTGCACTCCTCGGAGCAGTTGATGCCAAACCAGCCGAATGGGCACGGCTGGGCGCACACCGGACCCTGAGGGCAAAGGTGGGACACGTCTGACATGAAAACCCAGAAAAACGGTCACTGAGATGCTGTTTGATGTTTAGATCAGCGCCTCTCATCTGATGATAGTGATAAAGACCTCTGTCTGCTCGCAGACACCATGCAGGTCCGGACTCAGTTCCATTTATTGGGTATTTATGGAGAAGGAGAGTTTATAAGCACCAGAACCACTGGGAATGTTAGATTCTCCTGATTTCAACTTCTGATGGTAAAAAAACGAATTAAACAAATACCACCTAATATTTCCCAAAATATTGATCTCCAAGTCCATTCCTGATTTAGGAGCAGAGAACCTTCATTTGCCTTTAGAATCTCCTTAATCAGCTCTTAGAACCTCCTTCGGTAGCTTTTAGAACCTCCTTTAGGAGCCTTTAGAACCTCCTTTAGGAGCCTTTAGAACCTCATTCAGGACCTTTAGAACCTCCTTCGGTAGCATTTAGAACCTCCTTTAGGAGCCTTTAGAACAGGGGTGTCAAACTGGTTCCAGAAAGGGCCGTGTGGCTGCAGGTTTTTCTTTCCAACCAAGCAATAGCACAGCAGACTCCAGTCATTTCATAATGTCATCATGTTCAGATTGGACTCACTTGATGAGATGATAGGAGTCTGCTGTGCTATTGCTTGGTTGGAAAGAAAAACCTGCAGCCACACGGCCCTTTCTGGAACCAGTTTGATACCCCTGCTTTAGAACCTCCTTTAGGAGCCTTTAGAACCTCCTTCAGGACCTTTAGAACCTCTTTCAGGAACTTTTAGAACCTCCTTTAGGAGCCTTTAGAGCCTCCTTCGGTAGCTTTTAGATTCTCCTTCAGGGGCTTTAGAACCTCCTTCATGAGCTTTAGAACCTCCTTCAGGCCCTTTTAGCACCTCCTTTAGGAGCTTTTAGGACCTCGTTTGGTAGCTTTTAAAACCTCCTTCAGGACCTTTTAGAGCCTCCTTTAAGAGCTTCTAGAACCTCCTTCATGAGCATTAGAACCTCCTTCAGGACCTTTTAGAACCTTCTTTAAGAGCTTTTAGAACCTCCTTCAGGACCTTTTAGAGCCTCCTTTAAGAGCTTCTAGAACCTCCTTCATGAGATTTAGAACCTCCTTCAGGACCTTTTAGAACCTCCTTTAAGAGCTTTTAGGACCTCGTTCAGGATCTTTAAGCCGGGCATACACTGTATGACTTTGTTGTCCTTTTCGGGGCGACTTTCCAGTAATGAGAGAATTTTTCGATCGGGCCAACTTTCAGCCTGATCGTGGGTCATGCGTCGTGTAGTGTACAGGGGGTAAGGAGAGGTGATCAGATACTCAGGACCACCTCCCGATCCGGAATCGTAAGATTTTTTTGAGTTTTTACAGCACTAGTGGCTTGTCTTATGAACAGTACCACAAACATTAGCCCTCCTACATGGTTCGTGTGTGCTAACCACTGCACCACCAAAGCACACCTGGTCGGGAGAAAATCCAACATGTTTGAAATTCAGTCGGCCGTCATCGGCAAATGGCTCAGTGGGCATGCGCAAATAAGGATTCTTCTTCTTATTCCTCTTAGATGTAAACACAGAAGGATGGAGGGGGTGCAATGAGTGAACTGGAGATTCTTTCTGTAAAATTGACAGACCGTAGTAGCCACGCTTGCTCAGCCATGTCTTTGTCCAAATACGCTGTCGCCTTTACTTTTTAGGGCTTTCAGCACAAAATTGCACAAATTCCCAAGGCAGCCCATTATTTTATATTCCTCTTCTACTGGTTTGGCTCCCGGATAGACGAGTCCGAGTAGCGCCATCTCGCGGTGGAGCCGAGTCCAACGTGGTTTTAGACATGCAGTGTGAGCAGGTAGATCTCATCAGAGCGTCGGTCTGCACAGTGTGATACATACATCGTGAGTTGTAACTGCGTGCAACGATTGGAAATATTGCACAGTGTATGCCCTGCTTTAGAAACTTCTTTGGGAGCCTTTAGAACCTCCTTCAGGAGCTTTTAGAACCTTTTTCAGGACCTTCAAAACCTGCTTCAGGTGCCTTTTGGAATCTCCTTCAGGTGTCTTGTAGAACCACATTCATCAATCAGTAGAACATCCTTTAGCAGCTGGTAGAACCTCCTCATTGTCGTGCTGATGACTCATGACTGGAACTATAGAAGACTTTAGGATGCACAGGAGATCAGGGTGCTCAGGGTCTGTCACCCACTGTACCACTGTACCCGTAGCTATCAGCCCATAATGATTATTTGCTGTTTGGATTTTAACAGCCAGGCTGGTTCAGGATCATGACCTCTGACCTTCAACCTGCTAAATGAGGTCTGCAGAGTCTCAGGTGGAGCTTTTAGGTTTTTGGACATGTCTCTGACGCCAACTGGCAGAAGCCTGAGATGATTATTATGATGGCAGCATCAGCTGCTACTGTGATGTCATAGATTATGTCATTTTACCCTGTGTTGATGTGGTTAGCAAAGACTGTGCTTCTTCTTCTGTCTTGTAGATTTTAGTAAAAAAAAAAATGATTTCATGTTGCTGGTCATCTTAGTTCAGAATTAAATTTTTCACTAAAACTTAATTGAATATGAAAGGAAGTGGTTTAAAAGTCAAATATTACTTAAAGCCTGTTTTGTTAAATTCTTCTGTTCTTTGTTTTATATTAAGGCCAAAGGGATCAATTCAGAAAGGTTGGAATAGTTTAAATGTTTGTGCAGAGGTGAGGGAGGGATGGGTCGTACCATCCAGCCAGGGGGGCAGGAGCACTGTCCGGTGACATGATGGCACGTTCCTCCATTCTGACAGGGGCAGCGCAGCTCGCACAGGGAGCCATGTTTACCTGGAGGACACGGCTCCTCACAGCTGCAAGAGACAAACAGAACAATCTGCATAAACACAGAGAACAACATTCGTTCTGGAAAGAAAAATGACATGACAGCGACCTTATCTGTACAGAGACAAATGTTAAACAAAGTAATAAGGCTTTTTAGCATAATTTACTCTCTGAACCAGATGGAATAACTTATAGTTTCAAAATACAGATGCTGAAAAATCATAAAGCACTTTATAACGCCTCACTGTGGGTAAAATATTGATGCTTACATGTTGTTTTTCAATCTTCAGCTTCATATAGACAATCATACCGTATATGACTCAGACTTTGACAAACGATATTGTCATTTTGTATATGCAGAGTTTATACAAATCGCATATCGCATGTCTACAAAATCTGACTTCCAAAAAAAACCAACCAGATTGTAGAAAGTTAGCTTGTATAAGCACGTCACTAATATAAAGTGCCACAATGAAATAAATAAATACAGCGATAAACAATTAATTAAATGTGTAATTCATAAAATAAATAAGGAATTAAATATATAAATGTGTCATTAATTTAATGAAATACGTCTTCAATATATATAATTATTTCAGTGTGCATTTAATCATTTCATGGTCCTGTGTCGCAGTGCATCGAAACCATTAAAATAATCTGTCAAACTCACCCATCAAAGTTAGGGGGCGGGGTTAACGCAAATCGGCTCTCTGTAATCGCTTTGCTTCGCCTTAATGTGCAGGGCGACCAATCAGCTGTTAGGTAACCGCCCCCTAACTTTGATGGGTGAGTTTGACAGATTCTTTTAATGGTTTCGATGCACTGCGACACAGGACCATGAAATAATTAAATGCACACTGAAATAATTATATATATTGAAGACGTATTTTATTAAATTAATGACACATTTATATATTTAATTCCTTATTTATTTAATGAATGACAAATTTAATTAATTGTTTATCGCTGTATTTATTTATTTAATTGTGGCACTTTATATTAGTGACGTGGTTTTAATTAATGAATGACACATTTATTTATTTAATTCCACATTTAATTAATTATTGACATATTTAATTATTTATTTAATGCTGTATTTATTTATTTAATTTTGGTACTTTTTATCCTCCATACATTTAAAGATGTTCTCAGAGTTTAAATAGTTGGGGAATATCAAAATGCCATCTCTGTTTCTGTATTTTTACTCCCAGGCCTTACCATGTGCTCTTATAGATCTACTCACAAGACTCCAGTGTATCCCGGTGCACAAAGGCACTCTCCAGTCTGATGATGGCAGGTGGCGCCGTTGAGGCACTGGCATTCTTGCATGCAGTCTTTCCCATACAGGTTCGGATCACAGTGTTCTTCACAGCGCCAGCCCTGGTAGCCATCAGTGCAGACGCACGCTCCTGTTATTGGGTTACATTTGGCCCCGTTGCGGCACTGGCAGCGGTTAGTACAGTGTGGGCCCCAAAAATCACTCTCACAGCCTGAAAAAAGGAAAGAGGAGCTGATTAGACAGATGATCCAGACACTTAAGTGATGAAACGGTATTGACTTCCCTGCTGTACTTGGAAGCTGAGGATGTGATGAAAAAAAGTAGAGGGCATTACCCAGAATGCCTTTAACTTTAGAGAAAAAGACGTGCTAGCAATTAGCATTAGGAAAGGATTTTGTGTATTAATGCACTGCAGTGAGCCAAGTTTAAATATTCCTCTGAGAGCAACCAGAACCTGCTGCTAACAGAAAAAGTCTCTCCCAGTACTGCCCATTGGGTTCCACTAAAAATGCTGTAGTTAGCCTCCACTTCATTAGTCTGACAGCATGTTGGAGTGACCTACCCTGTCTAATAATCATAGCTCTAAATCAGTCACAATTACTCTCTTTTTCCTGCTTTGTTAATCATGTAAATAAGTTTAATAATGTGAAACAAATTTTTTTTTTATTAAAATACTATTTTTTTTAACTTAGCATATAGAAAATATGACATTTAGCCCTTCATATTGTTAAAACGACCAAGAGATACAAGAGAAATATCAGGTTTTTAGGGAAATGGTTGCCAGAGTAGCCATTAATTGTTAGTTAATCAATAAGATCAATTAGTAGGGAGGCACGATATTGGGATTTTGGCCGATATCCGATATGCCGATATTTTAAAACTCATGTAGCCGATAACCGATATCGATACCGATGTTAAAGCTGGACTAAAATAAGTAGTCATTGAAAATAGCAGTTTGTAAAGAAGAAGTTTTTGAGGAAGAAGAAGAAGTAGTATTTTTTTATTTTTATTTTAGACTTTAGAAACTCAGAAGATGATCAAATATCGGGTTAAATATCGGTGGGGGGGCCGATGTCCGATATTCAGTTTTAAGGCCGATACCGATAGGGGGCCGATTATATCGTGCATCCCTATCAATTAGATTAAGATTTATTCAACATTTGACCACTAATAAAACCACCTTACCTATGGAAGAACAGACTGGGAACTGCTCCAGTATAAACTGGGAGGAATGGCTTTAAAACATCAGCAGAACCACATCATTCACTAAATATTGAGTAAGAAAAAGTCAGACTTCTTGCTAAAGATGTTGAGTCAGTTTTGTTTGCTGACAGCTGATCAAAGCATCGGCAGCATCCCCCATTCTGCTTTAAGCTCCTCGCATGACACAGTTTCACACCTTTTCTGGATCCACGAGTAACAGGAACCCCTCAGACCTTAAGTAAGGATAAATATCTGGAAATTGGTTGCAGCATCGGCTCCATCACCAAAGTCATTATTTCGATGAGTGTCCACATAAAGGAACAGAAAAAAAACCTGATCCAATACTTAGAAGAGGACTGTGCTTATCAGAACTGATGCAAAAATCATTTAGTAACCGAAGATACGGGACATATAACTGAAAATATTCAAAGCTTTTTTCTGCACGGCAATAATAATTAAACTAGATGATAAAACTCCTGCTGGCAGATGCAGCCTCACAGCGTCACCTCATGAGTTCATTCACTTGTTCTTTATGTCCAACCTGCATTGACAGCATCTCTATGGACTAGTTTAAACATTCTCAACACATTTCCCTCAGATGTTAAAGAGGACAAACGGCTTTCAGAGCGTCTCTGCAGGCTGTGTTTAGCATTCAGCTTTGAATTAGTGGAGACTGAGGGGAAACCGCAGAATTAAATGTGACCTCAGCCGCTGTCTGCTTAAACTCTCTGATTGCTCGCCTTCATCTCAGCTAGAGATGAGGAACTGAACAATGAGGCGGTCACTTTAGATTCAACTGGAAGCTGCAAGATAAAAACTTTGTGTGCTGTTTGGGATGCATCATCTAAGCTGCATTTCCTGCATGGCATGGGATGTGAATTTGAGCAGGACTCAGCGGTTCATAGCAGTAGCTAACAGAGCGAGGCCAACATGCAGCTTTACTAGATCTGCATCAGATCCTCCATACTAGAATAGTCAACAACTAAACCTTGCTTCACTCTGCAGCACTCTGCCGGAGTGGAAACAGGATTTAGACTTTTACAGATAAACACCACTTCACTCTGTCAGAGAGAAGAAGGAGATTAATCCAGGAGAAGAACCATCAGAAAACACCTTCATCCCAACAGCTGATTTGGCTGATATCAGCCTGCAGTGATGTTGTTTCCTTCAGAAAACTCGCTTCTGTCTGCTTTTAGCTCCGGATGGTCTTCAGGAGGGATCTTTCCTCCAAGCTGCTCCTGCTCTTTACTCAACCCGACTTTATTCCTGAATATATACAATCAGTTGATGAATCGTGGATATATTCCAGAACCTGATGGGAAACTAATGGGATGGAAAAAACATATTATTGTGTTTTATCTGAGAAAGGAAAGCTAGGCACTTCTATGTTTGATGTATGATTATGGGCTGAAGTGAGGGGCTCTGAATGAGCGGCCATTTGTTAAAAGCTGGGAAACGTTGGTGCGACCAGCACGAGGATAAATGGAGGAAGTGATCCTTTTTTCCACAGTCATGGGTGGTGGTTTCACAGATATTACAGCACTGAATGTTTCATTCGGTCCGTGGTGGACGGAGCCATGAGTAGACAAAGCATTCATCACATCAACACTATCCTCCTTCTCAATCTTTCTCTAAATTACTTCCTCCTGTCTGCCATTGCCCTCCTACTTCTGTCTTTCTCTCCACAACCCAGAGCTCTTCTCGCTTCCCCTAACTAGTGAGCCAGCACAGTCAAATCCTTTATCCTCACACCGCCTCAATTATTCAGCAGCAAAGAGTCCAAATCAGTGACTAATGACTTTGATCAAGAGTAGCTCGCTGGTGTTAAGGAGAACTTTCTTCACTAAATTAAGAGCAGTATAATACTGGCTGGCAAAGGGCAACTGCTGCAGGAATATTTGGAGGTTTGTCCACAGTTGACTCTCTCTCTCAGTGCCCAGATCAAAGATTCAGTCTGATTTCTGATTGATCAAAAGAAAAAAAATCAGGAAGAGGTTTAATCTCAGACAGTCTGTCCAGAACCACGGTTTTACTGTAAAATATGAAAGTGCAGACTAGTTTAGCTCTTAAATGTAAAAAATAAAGAATTCAATTTTTTTATTCTTATTTCTATCTGGTTACAATCCTCACCCATTTTCTGTGCTCTGAATTTATCCTTTATTTATCGTTTTGTTTCTCTTGTCTTAAATCTGGTTTGATTCTTAACCTAATCACACTTTAAAATGACTAAAACATGTTTTATCATTATAAAATGTGTGGAACACTGTCCTCTGAGACCAAGGCTATTTGGTCATGATGCATTAGAGACTGACACGGGAGTGGATTTTCATTCCTGTCCCGTCCCACTCCCACAGAAAAAAATTGTGTCTCGTCCCGATCCCGGGCCAGAGTAGAAATCTAAATCCTGTCCCGTCCCACTCCTGGTGAAATTACTCCCACTCCCATCCCGCTCCCATTCAGAATGACTCCCGCTCCTGCACCACTCCCATTCTTGTTGTCTTCAATAAGATTTCTGCCAATACATTGAATCTGAATTTCTATGAAGGGTCAGTTAAGTTCCTGTTTCTAACTGTAGTAACTGTTGGTCCCTCCATTCTTGTTTTTGAGCGCGGGTTTTTTGGGTCGTGTAGTTTTTTAGACTCGCATTACAGTGTAGGCTTCAAGGAAAATAGGGTGACCATATTTTCCTTTCGAAAAACCAGGACACACAGTGGGGGGGTCGGGATCTCTGTTCCCATGCATAGAGATGTCTATATCTACAGTTGATTTATTAAAAATGCTTTTCTGTAAAAGTCAACAGCAATAACTCCAATAACAAACGATAATTTTATTCAAAATGTTTTTATTAAAAATACTTAACAATTCCTGTAATGAATGAATAGCATAATGAAAGAAATAATGTCTCATCTAAACATCCCTCACTTAACAATAAAACTTAACAATAACTCTCAACTCCGAATAACAGATGATACTCAGCCAAAGCAAGGAACGAAATAATGTCTGTTCTGTAGGCTATAGGAAAAAAATAAATTAACAAATGAGCTAATTAACAAAAAATACCTATTGTGTAGCAAATATTATTCAAAATGTACCAAAAACAAACAAACATATCAATAGACTATCTTTACTTTCGGTGTCCAGGTAGCTTTTCAGATCTCTTGCACCTCCATTGGCCATTGAGACATATGTGCCTGCTTTGCACACTGTGCACAAGGCCTCCCATTTGTCTCGACCCGGTCTGAAAACTCTTTTGTAAATCGTCGGTAAACATACATTTGCGCTTTTGCATGTTGTTGGCGTACTGACAGCCACGCTATCTATATTCTGATTAAGAACAAAGCTGCCCGCACTGACGCGGCTCAGGGATTACGTCACATGCAGCGTCGTGCGCAGTGCCCTAGCGCCTGTAAATTTAATGGTCCAATTAACATTTCCTCACTTTCTAAAAAAAAAACGGGACGCCCGGGACAGGACGTGAAATACGGAAATGTCCCAGGAAATATGGACGTTTGGTCACCCTAAAGGAAAAAAACTACAAAATGGCGGCGCCAGTACTGGATTTTTTTTCTTTCTATTTTCTTTCATATTTTGCATCAATCCTAGTTTTTTTTTTAGTTATTATTGGTTTTGCTCCCACTCCCGTCTGCTCCCGTTAATGTTTAATCCTGTACCGTCCCAATCACGTGATCGTTACTAATACTGACTCCCATCCCACGGGAATCCCGTGACCCGTGGGATTCCCCAAAAAATGTCAGTCTCTATGATGCATAGACAACCATGCAGAGACACGGTGGTGGAGGAGTGGTGATGGAGGCCCGAGGGGACTGTGATGTCCAATGGATGAAGCTTGGTCCAAACTGGGTCATTATCATGACCAAGATCCCAAACATAGTAGCTAATCTACCGCAGAGAAAATCAAGATGGTGGAATGGCCTAGTCAAAGTCTAGAGCTCCCCTGATTTAAAGCCGCTGGTTGGACTCTGTGTCGACTGAAAGCAGAGTGGACTT